GATACTGTTGCTTGCCAAGATTTAATCTCTTTGTTAATAAGAAAGTTCTAAAAGTATTAGCTGTGAACGACATGGTGGCACCTCACTGAGACTCTCTGCTCGACCCAGTCAGAAAGATTGGAAGAGAACAAGGCATGAACTTTCTCCGCAGGTGATTCAGGACTATTGAATGAACGGCCATGTCTCACAAGCATCACGTGAGCCACCAGCCTCTGCACCGCTGGCTCTGGGCAGTGCCTCTGCACAGGGCCTTGGACCAGATCTCCTAGTTCCAGGAAGCATTGGGGGTCACAGAGCACACAGGTGGCAAAGCCCAAGGTCCGGCCCCCGCCACATGCCAACCTCAGCCAGGGGATGACACACAGAGAGGAAACACTCCCTTCTGCTGCCCACACACCACAGGATTTTATAACCTTTTATTATGCTCAAAAATGATTTACTTCCTTGGAACCAGGCTAAGAAGTTTAGCATGTATATTTTAAAAAAGGAGCCATGTGAGCCATCTGCCGCTTTGAAACTAGCAAAGAAGAGTGAGCCTGGGAAGGGTGGATCAGGCCACGCTTTTTAATTGCTATTTATTGTTCCTTCAAAATGTTCCCTTGCTTCACTTTCAAGTCGCCCCACCTGCATATTGAAATCAGAAATTCAAGCAGGCAGATGCGGCCTCTATGCCCAGATCTGGCAGCTCTAGTTTGGTCCTATCCAAAGGCTTATTAGGGAAGAATGACAGGAGATGCCACCCTTTCTCAAATGACCTTCAGTCTGGGGCCTTTACCTGTCTTTGTCCCTCTGCCTGCAACCCTGTTCTCTTCCCATCAGACCCCCACTCCAGTCCTGGTTACAGGTCAGACTCACCTGGGAGCTCTGAGACCACATCTGCTCCTGCTGGTCCTCAGCCCAGAGCAGTGAAGTCAGAGCCTCGGGGTGGGGCCCAGGCAGGGGCATAGTCATGAGCCCCCAGCGGATTCTAAGTCGCAGCCAGGGAGCAAATTCCTGCTTATCCTTCAGGTCTCAGGGTCATTACTCCCCCCAGATGAGGTTGAGCGCCCTGATAGCACTTGCAGCTTTTTGCTCAACATTTTTCTCAAGTATAAGGAACTTGTTCAGACACCTCTTCCTGTTAAGGCTCTGAGAGAGCCGGTACTCTTTGTCTTGTCAGCAGTTTATCCCCAGCACCCATCACAGCATCTGGTACTCAGAGGGTTCTCATTAAGCTCTTCAATATTTTAAATAAATGAATGAATGATGAATGAATGAAAATGTGAAGGAAGGTCTCCAACAAAAGAGCATAAGGTCTTCCTTTAGCATTGGAACATTTCCCAAGTGGAAAGTGCTTTCCATGTCGAATGGGCCATAGTGAAGTATCTTCAAAAGTCTGGGACCTCCTACCTGCCCCAGATTCTCTTACATTTGGGCCAGTTGGGGTCAAAGGAAGGAGGGGCCTCTTGGCACCCTCAGCCTGTTTATGTAGGGTGGTGCGGGGTTGTCTGAGGCAGGGCTGGGCGGGCAGGGGTGTGGGCGTGTGCAGACAGTCCCTGCCGGCGCCCTGCCCTTGTCCTGCAGGTGGATTCGTAAGCACGGACTTCCCTTTTGACAACCATCCACANATGTTCTTCCCCGGATGGCTTCCTCCTTCCATTAATCTAGGTCTCAGCTAAGATCTCCTGATCCCGAGCCCTTCAGACCCTGCCCCAGGCTTCCTCCATCTCCTGCCCTGTTCCCTTTTTCTCAGCAGCGCTCATCATCCTTGACATATTATATACATATTTGATCACTGGCTGTTGGCTTCAGCCCCATTGGGATATAAACTCCAGGAGAGCTGGGGCTTGGTTTTATTTGTCTCTCCAGTTCCTGAAAAAGTGACATGTCGTAGGCCCTCTACAAACATTTGTGGAGTGAATGAGTGGGCCAAGGGGGCAGCATGAAAGCCGGTTGAAGTTGGGTTTGCTCTGCAGCCAGTCCCTCAAACACGCTGAGGAGCATCCCACTGCAGGCGCGCCAGGGCCCTCTGGGCCTCCTGTCTGAGGCCCCTGGGGATTTCCTGGCCCTGAAGAGTCTCACAGTGAGGAAACTACCCCTGATGGCAGGACAGAGATCCCTGGAAAGGGCTTTGGAATGCATTGCAAGAACTTTCTGAAAGCCCCCTGTGGGATCTGGGGGAAGAAAAGGCTTAAAATAATCACCCCTGTACTCACCTCCCCAAACTGACTCCCACCACCACGCTATCAAAGCCCTCCTCCTCTGTACTTCCTTAGCATTCAAAGCTTGCTGCTTGGAGAAGGTGAGGAAGAAGCAAACGAGGGAAGGAGGTGGTGAAAGAACAGCCTGAAGTGGTCCCTCCCTCCCTTTCAGAAGGAGGGTGGTTGGGCCAGAGCCAAAAGATAGAAACACACACCCCCACCATCACCACCACCACCACCACCTTGGATTAGGCAACTGGAGCTGCAGATATGGCTAATTACCACCCAAGGTGATACTGCCTAGTGACACCCAGACTGTGTGCGGAGGCCTAATGAGCTATTACCCACGTGGGCTCCTTAACTAGAACCAGGTCACTCAGCCCTCCAGGGCAGGGGCGTTGCTGTGACAACCGCATCCTGGTAGCAAGCTCTGCAGTAGAGGTTGGAGGGTAGGTGTGGGCTTAGGGTGTTAGGACCTCTAGCTGTGGATGGAGCCCAGGGAGGCCTAGAGGTACGGCACCTTGTCAGTTCTCCCCAACTTGGCCGTTTCCAGGGAGCTGGCATGTTGCTGCCCACCTGGAATCACAATTAACTGAAGGAGGGTAAACAGTGCAACTCTGGGGCCTCCCTCAGACACTGTCTTCCTGGTGATGCGGAGGCCCTGGCCCCCAAACTTCCTGCCTCTCCATTGTAAATGGGTGGACCACAGAATGCAACAACTGACAGTCCCCTCTAACTCAGTGCTTCTGCGTGGCTGGCACTCCGGAGTTGGGACACAGAGGGTCAGAAGGGGGAAGGGATGCTCGGATGCTCCGGGGTCATGAGCTAGTCCATGGCAGGGCTGGGTCTTGTCCCATTCCCCATGCCACAGCGCTGGGCCAGCAGAGGGAGAGCTGACCGCTGGGTGCCCTGTTCTTTCAGACTTACATTCACGTAATCGACCGAAGGACCGGGAAGCCCGTGCCCACCATGTTTTACACGGACCCTATGGTGGTCTTTCATCATGTCAATGCCTATGAAGAGGACGGCTGCCTCCTGTTTGACGTTATCGCCTACGAGGACAGCAGCCTCTACCAGCATTTCTACTTGGCCAAGTTGAATCAACTCTTTGAAGAGAGCTCCAAGGTCACCTCCATCCCCACCCTCAAGAGGTTTGCCGTCCCCCTCTGCACAGACAAGGTAAGGGCTTGAAGGAAAGCCCATTTGATTCTTGGGGAGATAGGAGCCCATGTAGGATGTTGCTTTGGCCCTGATTTGATTGATATTGAAGTCCAAAATGAGCTGTTCTTAAAGAAAACATTTTCATTATTTTCCCCAAAGTAATAAATACTCATAGTAGAAACTTTAGAAAATATAGATTAAGTAAAAAGGAAAAAATGTCCCATAAACCCATTGTGGATATATTTGTATTGCCCCCCACGTCTCTCTCTGTCCATTAATAGATAGACAGATAGACATATACATGTTGATATATATACATATATAATACATATGATATATTGGGTTGTCGGAAAAGTCATGACATTTTTTCTGTTTTTCGTTGCAAAAATGCGTCATGACTTTTCCGACAACCCAATATATCACAATAAAGCAGTTAAAATTATATACATACATATTTCTTAATTTCAGAAAACAGAATCACACTATACATAATTTTTAAGTACTTTATTGAGATATAATGCACATACCATACAATTCACCCATTTTTACTCATTTAGAGTGTATAGTTCAGTGGCTTTTAGTATATTCACAGAGTTGTACAACCATCACTACAATCAATTTTAAAACATTTTCATTACCCCAAAAAGAAACCCCAGACCCCTTAACCATCACCCCCATCCCCAGTCCCTCCATCCCCCCAGCCCCTGGCAACCACTACTCTACTTCCTGTCTCTGAGGATTGGCCTTTTCTGGACATTTTATATAAATGGATCATACAATAATATGTGGTCATTTATGTCTGGCTTCTTTCACTCAGCATAAGGTTTTCAAGGTTCAAATGTGTGATAGCATGAATTAGTACTTCCCTTTTTATGGCTGAATATATACATACTCTTTTGTGTACTATTTTTTTTTTACCTATTTGTATATCTAAACATCTCTCCATGACATTAAATGTTCTTCAACAGCATCATTTTGATATTTTCCTGGCAGCCCGTGGCAGGGATTCAGCACCATTTGTCTACCCAGTGCCCTGCTGCTGAATAGTCCTGTTCTTGCGTTAAAAATGACCACTAGATCAGACGTTATCCTCAATTAGTGTGATGCTGCCAAGGCTCTGGGCTGGGTTTTGGAGGCCACGGAGGCTTCTGGCTCCAGAACTCGGTGACTTCATGACTTAATTAATTTAAATGAAACCAAATTCAATTCAACTCAATTTTTGATGGCCCATATTTACTAAACGCACTCTATGTGCCAGGGACTTTGCTAAGCACTTTTTTTTCCCTTACCTCACTTAATGAGCCAAACAACCTGTGGGAGAGGTCCCTCATATGAGCCTCACTTTACAGATGGAGAAAGTGAAGCTCAGAGAGGTTAAAGGGTATCCCT